GGCTGCTGCCTAAAGGGACAGAGAACCCAGAGACAGGACTCGAGGCAGCAGGGACTGCTGGCGTTCTGCAGTGAGCGCTAGAGGCTACAGCAGGGGTCTCGAACGCACATGCCCAAAGGAGCTGGGCAAGTACAAAAAAACGGCAAGGAAAATACCAGAGGCTGAGCGCCTCCTTTAGAGTGGGCAGCCCCCACCGAGCTCTTGCCGACTCCTGTCACGCGGGCATGGGGCACAGGCTTGAGCATCTCCCAAGATTTCAAAAGAAGCCCCCTCACTGAATTTGTAAACTTCCTGCTCTTTAAATGTTGGCTACTAATTTAAAAAATTCTGTGTGGGCCAAAGTTGTGCCCCTAACGTGTTCCTGCAGGGAAGAGGATGCTGTGAGCTATGACAGCAGGACGGGAGCAGGTCTGCTCAGGCCCCCATGTGCCACATGGGTGAAGGTGCTTATCTTCTCACGAACCCATCAAGCCCTGCCACAGGGGACAGGTGCAGCCCGGTGGTCCGGGCCGGCACTACCTTAAGTTTGCTCTGGTAGTCCATGATCTCGGTGCTCAGCTGGAACTTGAGGGTGTCGAGCTCCTGGTGTGCAGTCTCCTGAAGGCTCTGGGCCCGCTGCTCAGCCTGGGCCAGCTGGGCCTGCAAGCCAGGCAGTGAGCTGGCTGCCTCCTCGGCCACCTTCAGCTTCTCCTGCAAGCTCTCCTTCTCTCGCTGCAGCCCTGTCACTTGGTATTCCAGGCTCTCTCGCTCCCTTGAGGCCGCCTCTTTCGCATCCTGGAGCTCCCGGACGGTGCAGGCCAACGCTGCCTCCATCCGCTCCTTCTCCGCGGTCAGTGCGCAGACCTGGATGCCGAGCTCGGCCGTGTCCGTGTTGGCGTGGTGCAGCTGCTCCTGCAGCTCGGCATGTTCCAGCCGGGCTTCCTGGGAGCTGCATTTTGCCTGGGACAGCTCCTCCCGCAGGGCCTGGAGCTCCTCCATCCTCAGATGGGCCTCATCGGCCTTCTCCTCCTGCAGCGCCCCTTCCCGCTCCGAGCACTGCAGCAGCTCCTGGACGTGGGCCCTGTTGAGGGCTTCGCTCTGTTCCTTCAGTTGCTGCACAAGGGCCTTGTGCTCCTGAAGAGCTGCCTCGGCCACGTTCAGCTGGCTCTGCACCTTCTCCTGGTCACCCAGGGCTGCCTGGAGCTTGGCCCGGAGGTCCACCACCTCGTCCTGCAGTCGCTGAGCCTCCCCGCGATGGACCTCCAGCTGTGCCTGAGACAGGGCCAGCTGGGCAGCTAGCTCATGGGATGCATTCTCGTGAGGTGGGCAGAGCCCCTGCTGGCCTTTTTCTGCTGTGAGGGTCTCAATCAGCTGCATCTGCTGGCGGCACTGGCTCTCCAGAGCCCTGAGCTCCCCTTCCCGGGCCTCTGCCAGCTGCCGGCACTGCTCCGTCTGCTCCCGCAGCTGCTGGCACTCGGCCTCCTTGCTCTGCAGGGCAGCCTCCTTCTCCGCCACGTGAGCCCTCATGGTCTCCTTGGCCTTCTTCACGGCCAGGAGGCTTGCCTCCATCTGGTCACCCATGTGCCGGATGCTGGCCTGCTCGGACTCCAGGGAAGCCAAGGAGCCCTGGATGGCTGCCTCCCGCTGCTGCAGCGCCTGGTAATCAGCCTGCAGGGCCTGCAGCTTGTTCTCCAGCAGCTGATTGCGCGCGGCCATGCTCTGCAGCTCTGCCTCCAGCTCCCTGTTGGCCTGCTGCAGCTCCTCCTCCTGGGCGCTCCTTCGCATCCGGGTGTCACCCCCGGGTCCCTCCTGCAGGCCTCTCTGCTCCTCTGGCTTCTCGCAGGCCTGTGGCAGGGCAGAGTCCGCGGGGGCAGGAGCCCCGCTCTTCTCACCCGCCACCGGCGAGTCTGGGCCTAGCTGCCCCGCCAGCCGCTCCAGCCTCCCCAGCTTCTGACTGAGGTGGTCTTTGTCCTGGATGAGCTGCTTCTTCTCCTGCTCCAGGTCACTCACGTGCTGGCTCACCTGCACCAGCTGGGTCTCCAGGAGCTGCAGCTGCCGCGTCAGGGACCTGGCCTCCTGCTCTAGCAGCAACTTCTCCTCGCGCTGCCGCCGCTCCCCCTGCCTGGACTCTGCCAGCTCTTCCTCTAGGGAGCTCAGGTGGGCCAGCGACTCCTGCAGCCGCCGCCGGAGCTGGGCTGCTTCCTGCCCCTTGCCCAGCAGCTGTTCCTGGAGCGGGACTATCTCCCCCAGCAGGCGCTCCAGGCCGGCCCGGGCCTCCTCCTTCAGCTGCAGCTCCTTGGCCAGCTGCTCCAGCTGGGCACTCTGCTGCCTATTGAGCTCCCGGACGTCCAGGGACGAGTCACTGGGGATGAGCTCTTGCTGCCCCTTCGTGTTCAGTGCTGCATCTGCCTTCTGCTCAGCTGTGCCCAATGGACCTGGGACATTAGCTAAGAGCTGGTTCTGCCTGCCCAGCGAGTCCCGTGTGGCCTCGAGCTCCTGCGCCAGGGGCTGCAGCATGGCCTCCAGCTGCCGCAGGGCTGAGCGGTAATCGTCCTCCTTCTCCGCAGCGCCCAGCTCCAGGGCCTGCAGGCACTTCTGCAGCTCCTTCACGGTGTTCTGTGTGGCCTGGGTGACCTCCCACTGCTTCTGGAGCTCGGCCATCATGCGCGTGAGGCGAGCGTTGTCCTCGGCTGCAGCGCGGCCCCTCTCCCTCTCCACCTGCAGCTGCTCTCCCTGCAGGCTGACGGCTGCCCTCAGCTCCTGGTTCTCTCTGTCCAGCTGCTGCATTCGCTCCTGCAGCTGCTTCTCCCGCACCTCCAGCTGGTCCAGCTCCACCCGCATCTCATCGAAGCCCTCCAGTGCCTCGTTGTTTAAGGGGCTGTTCAGGTCAAAGCTGGAGCCCATGTCCTGAGTCTGGGAAGGAAAAACAAAAAAACAAGTGGCTTTGGAATTAAGCTGCACGGCTATCTGGAGAAGCTTACAGTGTAATGAGAAGCGAAGCGAAAATACGGCAGTCACATGACCCCAGGTGAGTCTCTCGAGCTAGTCAGGATGTGACTCTGCTGCTTTCAAACACACTGTTCGACTGCTTATAAAATAACTTCATTTTTAAAAGGCCTAAGTTCTATTTGGTTATAAAAACCTGGACTCTAGGAAATAATGGGTGTAATTGAGGGTTAATATTGCTCCGACTGGAACGACAGGTGTCTGAGAACATCACCCTGAGCTGCGAGGGGCAGGGATGTGCCCTTGACACTATGGCGAGGAGACCCCCAGCCCTTCCGGCATTACCTGCAGGTAGCTGCTCACCAAACTGCTCATGCTGGAGCTCCGGCTGGGGGGTTTCCACAGGTAAGCTGGAGAACCGGTGGCCAGTGTCCTCCTGTGGGGCCACAAAACGGACATACCTGCATCAGAGCAGGAAACACGCACACAGGAAGGCCTCGGCTGTCACCAGGCAACCGGGTGATAGTGGGGGCCAATGCACTCCCAGACAGTATGAGAAGGAAAACCCCACAGTTCCCACCAAAGAACACATTTACAGTGCTCTGTATTAAAGGGACTCCTCTGCTAAAGTTAAACATGATGGCTTTCCTTCTAGTACCAAAAAAGAACTAAGCGAACATGACATTTCCCCATTTGGGGTTTAAATTTTCCTTAACTTTTGGTGCTTGGTATATAGTCTGATTGCTATCGGGGAACGAGTGGCAGTCAATCTGGTAAAGAAAGGTCACACCGGGATTAGGGGCTCGTGGTCACCACTGTGTAACTACACACACGTAACGTGGCTAAAGTCCTGCTTCTGGCTCTGATAACAGCACTGGGCAGTGTAGATACAGAAAATTTTTCTTGCTGCAGAAAGTTCTATTTATCAGCCCTGAAACACACATACTTGTGTGGTAATGCCCATTTAGGAGGAACAGTGCAAACTAAACATTTTTTTATTTCACCAGATGCCTTCTCCCTTTTAAAACTCGTTGGTCTCCACAACCCAGCATTTCCGCTTGTCGGGATCTACACTGAAGACAGTCACACGTGCACACACGGAGACCGCGGGGCACGCTCCTGGCGGCA